ACTCAGTTTCCCCAGCTCAGCCGGGGAAGGGACGGCGTCCTCAGCAAACCTGCCTGGAAGGTTGTGGGGCTGTTTCAGACCATTTGTTTTTACAAGCGGTGAGGAGGCGTGATGCCCGTGTGCGTGGGGCCTCGAGGAGGAAGCGTGCACAAGAGGCGCCGGGACACCACAGGGACGGGGGTGGTGGGTGGACAGGACGTCCAGCGTGCGAGTGGCAGACGCCCGGGTCACGGAACAGCACAGCCCAGGAAGGGAGGGGAGGGGGGACAGGAGGGGCTTCGCTGGTGCTCCCGCTCCCATCCTCCCCCTCCCCCCCGTGGGAGGCCCCCGGCACCTGCAGTGCAGATGAGACAGAGGCTCAGGGACACGCCCAGCCTTCGGGCACACCTGCTGCTCCTTCCCTCGCCCGGCCCTCAGGACCCAGCGCTGCTCATGGTGTCTGCGCCTCACAGCCCACCCTGCTCTTCCTCACCAAGGACAGCAGAAGCAGTGGCATCACTGTGCCCCGTTCGGAGGGCGGCCACGCCCCAGGGTCCCTGTCCCACCCGGCAGCCGCTCAGGTCTGCACAGAGACACTGCTACGGCCACTCCCAGCCCCAGCACCCAGGGGTGCCTGCGCATCCGGGGCTCGCTGGCAGCTCTTGCCCCCTGGAGATGAGCGAACGCCGCAGGTGCTGTCCGGACTTGCCCCCTTTCTAGGTTGACTCCCCGAGCAAAGCAATCCATGACATGCCATCTGCACACAAGTTCGGAAGTCCCTGCTTCCCACCGAGGGAGGCTCCACGGACCGCCCTGGGGTCAGGGGGCCGACACTTGGTGGACCAGGGGGCTCGGACCCAAACCCAGGGGCCGCAAGCACTGCAGCCGGTGCTCGGGGCCGAGGACAGGAGCGGGTCGTCTCGGTGCGGGGACAGGGCGTCGTCCTCCAAGGTGGAAGACGAGGGTGCCTGGTCCCTCCCGTGACCCACCCCGGGGTCCCCGCGAGGAGGGGCAGCCACGTGCTCCTCGCCACGGGACTCCAGGCCTCAGCTAATCGTACATCGTTACCATCGCACAGCCCGGATGCCCGCATTTTAGATAGCTTCCCGCCGAGGAAGCTCTGCAGGTCTGCGAAAGACACTGGCGCTGAGCAGACCCTCTCTCGCCCGTGACCGGCCCGGATTCAGAACGGGGAGGCGGCAGGCTGCGGAGCGGGGGTTCTCAGAGTGGGGTTCCCCTGGGAGAAACACAGCTTCTCAGGCTCCATCCCCGACCTACTTGCCCCAGAACTCTCGTCGCGGAGCCCAGGAGACAGGAGGGTGATTCTGACCCCCCTGGGGTTTGAAGGACACCCACTCGGCACAGGGGGTCATGACACGTGTGTGCTGTGTCACGCCCGGCTGAATGTCCCACATGGTTGAAACTGCACCCCAGGCCCTGGGAAGAGAGGGGGGGCGGCTGGCATGGAGGCTGGTGCCGCCTCCTGAGAGACCGCCGGTCCTGCCGCCTGTTTGGTCTGGTCCTTGGCCGACGGGCTTGCCCGTCCCCCGCCCGCACCCCACCGAGGGCAGCACTCACGTCTCTCACCGGAGCAGGTCTTTGGAAAGCGCTTTGAGAAATAACACAAACGCACCCCTGGCCGGGTGGCTCTGCTGGTTGGAGCCTCGGCCTCTTCACCAAAAGGCTGCGGGTTTGATCCCCGGGTGGGACGCGGGCGGGAGGCCGCCCACCCGTGTTTCTCTCTCACAGTGATGTTCTTCTCTGTTTCTTTCCCTTCCTCTCTCTCTAAAAGCAGTAACTGTATCTTTGGGTGAGGATGAAAAAAATAACAAACACTAATGACCAAATATGAGTATATAATCAGGTAACCGATGCTGATACAAAGATGACCTTTCTTAAAAAGTTTGAGATGAACTGGAAGATGGCTGAAATGATTCCTCCTAGATGACCTGAATAAGCAAATGCTGGATTTTTAATACTAGGTGATAAGAAGAAAGACTTTAGTACAGGCATGCTCATTTTCTTATAAAGCCGCCATGCCCTTCAAAACCACCCTTCTCTTCTCGCTCAGGGTACTGGTGTTGGTAGCCATGGCACAGAAATAAGGCTCCCCAAACAGACGCCTTATCTTCACAGGGAAGGAAGTTCAAGAAGAAGGAACTGACGTTCTTCCCCGACAGTGACGACAACACATTTTGGGTTCCTTTCCCGGAAATTAGTAAACAGCAACATAGCTTTCATTTAAAAAAGAAAAAAAACACATGTTCATAGCACATGCTTAAAGCGAACCCATATGCCACGCATACGCCTGAAGGAGGAGACGGTCCCGTGGGCCAGCCTCCCCGGGCGATCCGTGCCCAGCAAGGCCGACTGCAGTGAAGACGCCGCCGCCCGTGCCTGAGGGGAACGCCGCTCCCTCCGCGGGGCGGCGCGCTGCTTGTCTTCCATTCGGAACCCTCGGTCTCCTACTTCCTGAGCTCTTTCCCCCTCGGGCACGCTTTGTGCACCCTGACCAAGCACATCGAAATCCGGGAAAGACGGCGCCTTCTCCGGATGCAAGAGGTGTTTCCCCGGCCAGCGAGGGGGTTTCCCCGCGTCCGTCCCCTGTAAACGCGCCTCAAGTGCGTGCCCGACACCTCCCCAGGAAGCGGGGCGCAGGGCCCCGGAACCGTCTCAGCTTCCAGAGCACGCGGCGGCCTTATCTCTGCGCTGCAGGTCGGCCCGAAGCCTTGGAGGCCCGCGGGCCTGCTGCCGGGCACACGCCGCTCCGCGTGCCCGGAGAACCCGGCCTCTAACCAGCCAGGAGCCTGGCCCCGCCCTGGCCATGCCCACCCGACGGAGGGAGAGCTGGAACATAAAAAATGTGTCTGTCTTTTACCCTGTCACGTTCCCAGCCACGAAAGAAGGAGTCACTGTCCAAGAGTGCCCCCGCACCCCAGAAAAGTGAGGGTTTGATATTCCGAGTCAGGTTACCTTCAGGCCCCGGCAGGCAGGTGAAGGGAAGAACGGAGACACAGGTGCCTCTGGCCCACAGGTACTGACAGCCCCCGGCGCTGGAGGCCGCCCTGGAAAAGGCGGCTCCCCAGGCAACTGTGACATCACACAGAGCAACGCAAGGCACACGCGTTTCCGCCTGGCTGTGACTCGGCCGCTGGGGCATCCAAAGTATAGGGCGTGCCCCCCCACCCCCGCCCCGTCTCTCCAAGTCCAGGTGTCTCACCTTGTCCTGCCTGTGCCATTTCCCCAGGAAGCAATCACGACGATGCCCAGAATGTCAATGCTAAAAATAACATGACGTTGACCAACAAGCACAGGACTGGAAGGACGGTTGGCACAAAGCTAGTTTCCTGCCTCCCGTAACCAACGCAGGGCGGCATCTCACCGTCAACTCCAGGTAAAGCCTAAACATGCATCCTCAACACTCTCCTCGCCAAAGCCACAGCCTGGCACGACTGCGGCGCGCCCGGCGGAGGTCCAGGAATTCGCCGGTTCATTGACAGAGCGGCATTTTGTCTGCCGTGCCTCCTCGGGCAAGGGAAGCAAAAGAAGGATAAACAAAGGTGGAGGCATCAAACTGAAAAGGTTTTGCACAGCAGAGGAAACCACCCACAAAGTGAAGAGACAAGCTCCTAAGTGGGAGAACATATTCGCCAGTGATACCTCTGATAAGGGATTTATTATATCCGAAATTTATAAAGAATTCAGGCCACTCAGCGCCAAAGAAACAACAGCCCAATTAAAAAACGGGCAAAGGGCCTGAATAGACACCTCTCCAAAGAGGACAGAGAGAGGGCCGACAGGCACATGAGAAGATGTGCAAGGCCACTGACCATCAGAGAGGTGCGAGTTAAGACCACACTGAGCTATCACCCCCCACCTGTCGGAACGGCCACCATCAGTAAGCCCACAGACAACAAGTGCTGGCGAGGATGTGGAGAAGGGGAACCCTCGTGCACCGGTGGTAGGAGTGCAGACTGGCACAGCCGCTGTGGACAGCAGGATGGAGTCACTCCAAAAGATTAAAAATGGAACTGCTTTATGACCCAGGGATTCCACTCCTGGGAGTACATCCAAAGAGATCTGAAATGTTGATTTCAAAGAATCTATGCACCCCTATAGTCATTGCAGCGTTATTTACAATCGCCAAGATTTGGAAGCAGCCCGAGTGTCCATCCATAGATGGGTGGATAAAAAGAATTGTATGACGCATATATAATGGAATATTAATTGGCCATGAAAAAGAATAAAATTTTACCCTTTCTGATAGCATGGATGGACCCAGAGGGTGTTATAATACAGCGAACTAAGTTGACCAGAGAAGAACAAACCCCATATGACCTCACTTATACATGGAATCTAAAGAACAAATAAATGAACGAACAGAACGGAAACAGACTCACAGACACGGAGAACAGACTGACAGCTGCGGGTGGGGGGGGAGGGGGTGGGCGCTGGAGGGAAGAGGTGCGGGGGCTGAGAAGCCACACTGTAGTTACAAGATGGTCACAGGGATGTCCAGGACAGCACAGGGGACACAGTCAGTGATGTCATCATAACCACGTGGGAGGCCAGGTGGCCGCTGGGAATATCGAAGGGAACGCTATCTAAAGTATTCGATTGTCTAACCACTACGCCGTACGCCTGAAACCAATACATAATAAAAAAACGCATCATGAGGGCCCTGGCTGGCGTAGCTCAGTGGATTGAGCGCAGGTTGCAAACCAAAGTGTCGCAGGTTCGATTCCCAGTCAGGGCACATGCCTGGGTTGCAGGCCATGACCCCCAGCAACCGCACATTGATGTTTCTCTCTCTCTCTTTCTCCCTCCCTTCCCTCTCTAAAAAATAAATAAATAAAATCTTAAAAAATAAATACAAATAAAAATAGCACAATATTTAAAAAAAAGACGCACCATGAAAACATCAGACACCCCTTGAAGTTACAGGACAGTGAAAAACATCTTGATGCGCGCGTTGAAAAAAACAAAGCAAGCACTTGTCCCCAGAGCTGCCCTCCCCTTACCTTCTCCGAGGCCTTGTCGTGCACTGGAGGTGCCGCCCCGGGCAGGGCCGGAGGGGGCGGGGCGCGGCGCTTCTTCAGGTCCGACCGGACGGACACGCCGGAGATGTTGCTCAGCGAGAGGGACGGGCCCAGCGTGCCGGAGCGGGAGTTCACGGACGGGGAGCTGGGCGTGGTCAGACAGCCCTGCAGGGGGAGAGACAGACACAGGTGGTCACTGGGCACGCCCTCTCTCCGCGAAGCTCCGCCCAGTCGGTGCACGGGCGGGCGGGTGGGCGTGGCCAGCCTGGGCAGGGCTCGCATTCTCGCTTCTGCAGGAAAACTGTCCGGGAAGATGTGACACGACAGACGCCTGCTGTGAGGCTGGGAAGCAGCCCAGGGCCCCTCGGCAGGCGAGGGGATGCCAGAGCTGCGACACCTTTGCACAACGGAACACGACTTGGCCGTAAAAAAGAGTGGAATCTCAGCACTCGCCGCAACCGGGGTGGCCCTCGGGGGCACGGTGCCCGGCGGCATGAGTCAGCCCGAGAAAGACCAGCACCGCACGTGTTCTTGGTCATGAACAGCACAGCGGACTTTTACCTCTGAGACTCTCCCATGAGGACCTGCCTGGCGAGAGGAAGGGCCCGTGCAGAAGGGGCGCTGGAAGAACCGGCACCCCAGTTTCAGATGGAAAACGGGACCGAGCCCCACCCGACCCCGTGCACCCCCTCTCCGCCGCGCCCCGCCATCCTGTCCTGTCCAGCAGGGCCCCGCAGGTGGCTGGGCACGCCAGGTCGTGCTCCCTTGGGAAACGCCGGGCAGCCGGGGGTCCGGCACCTCGTTCACCAACTGCAGGCTCCCGAAGGAAGCAGGTGCGGATCTGCAGGACGTGGGTGGACACCTGGGAAATTCACCCATGCCCACCTGGGCTCCCACAGAAACGAGGAAAGAAAAAGCACACATGTTTGTCCCAGCCGTGAGTTCTGCAGCCAGCAGGCCCGTGACCGGGTGGACCGGTCACTGCACGGTGGCCTCGGTCGGACGCTCTGCCTTCCGCCCACCTCCGGGGCAGCCGTGAGGACCCAAGGAGGCAGACCTCGGGGCTGCCGAACAGACCAGGGGCCAGAGGGGGGGCCGCCAGGGTCTGGAGGGGTGCCGCGGTTTCCCTGGGTGGGGGCTGGCTCACACCCCGCCGCCCCCCACACGGGGAGGCGGACGGAAGATGCCAAGGTTCGTCCAGGCGTGTGAAACCCGGGGAGGGGCGCACACCACGCTCTCCAGCATGGCTGTCTCGGAAGTCCCCCGGGCCCTCCGCAGGGCCCCGTGAGCACCCCGATCTCGACACTGCGCTCCCCAGCCCCGACGCTGACTGCTTCTCTTCCCCGCACCCTGTCTGGACCCGGGATGTCCAGGTCCCCTTGCCCGCAGCTCGGCCGCCTGACGCCCGCTCTGCCCCTCGAGTGCCCTGCGCGGTCTCTGAAGGTCTGTGCACAACGGCCCTTGAAAGCACTTCCCAGGCTGTGCCCGGAGGTCAGGCTGGATTCCGCAGCACCCCTGCCTTTGTGGCATGCTGACGTCCCGGCCTTTCCCCTCCTTGAGGGGGGGGCACTGCCCTCGGTTCTCCTGGGCAGCCCCACCCCCCCGCCAGGCGCACACGGGCAGGACCTCATGCGGGGACGGCTTGTGTTGGGGGCCGAGGTGAGCGTTGCTCTTCCACGGGAGCACACAGCCACCCGTGTGCTCTCACACACACCACCCAGCCACACAGGCATGCACCGTGCCATGTGGCCTGGGGAGGGAGCCCTGTCCATGATGGGTGGGGGGAGAGAGCAAGACTCCCGCGGAACATGCTTCTGGAGACAAATGGGACGTGCTGTGCTTGCAACCCTTCTGTTCAAGACAAACCGACCCCCAAGAAGCAAGGGTGGGGCGTGATGGTGCCCCCATCTCTCAAACTGTCCACGCTGGCAAGGAGGACGTTGTGAGCACCAGCCACGTGAGCCAGTCTACCAGGTCTGCGCGGCCTCCGGACGTGGCCGGGGAGGGACTCGGACCGGAGGCTGCTAAGGGTCCCGGGGACCATCTGGGCCGCCCTCGGGCTGGTCGACAGCACCATGGAGAGTGCACTCAGCACAGGCTCTCCAAAGTGAGGTCGGACACTGCTAGGGCGGCACGGTTTCAGAGTTTCCTTTTCATTTGTAACACGTCTGTTTTAGACTTTCGTTGGCATGCAATCTCTGAAATAATCATTTTCAATAATTACTGTGTTCCACGGACGTGATCGGCATAGGAGACTTTTCAACGGTTATTGCCCCCAAGGGTGGGAAATTTAAATCTATCACCATTACAAATGGAAATGAATGTAAATATAAAACACGGAAACTGAAATGTTTTCCCATGTGCTTCCCCAAAAGTTATTTTTCTCCATCAAACTGACTGCACATCGCGTGCACGCTCTGACTGCCGTGGATGGGCACATTTTAACTTGGTTTTCTCAGTAGGGAGGGAACCAGGGCCCGGGGGAGGGGGGCTGGGGGGCTCCTGGGACTAAACCTCCGGCCATCCGGGACCCTGTGTGAGTCCTGCCTCTCCTTGCACCACGCTGCCCGCTGCTGAAAGAGTTCAGCGCTTTTCTTAATGGCTTGTCAAAGAATCAAGGGAGCGACCCCCCGAAAACACAAGCTGAAGGGCCACCGGCCCAGCACACAGTAGTGGGGACGTGCCGCGGCTCCCTCGTCAGCGGGACGAGCGCCACCTCCCCGGGCGCAGAAAGGGGCTGGCCCCTGCACCTGCCCACCGGTGGCCTGTGTCCACACGTTAGCTGTGCCCACGCTGCGGTGACGGCCACCTCTAAGTCACACCTCGTGTGGTCTCAGGACAAAGTACACTCCTCTCCCAAGTCCTGCGTCCTCCTGCACACGTGAGGAGGAGTTTCATCTACCTGCACATTGTAAGGATGTGAGAAGCATTACGGGAAGGGCTGAAATAAAATGTAATACAAATAATAGGACCTATGACAGCAACACTGAAAAGCTGGGGGAAGCACATTCCGGGCTGGGTTGTTGGGGCCGTGCCCCGGTAATTGCCGAGACAGAACCGAAAATGACGGGACCGTGTGAAGTTCAAGTCAAACTACATCAAGGGCTCTGCGTGAGCAGGAAAGGCTGTGGCTTGTTGGAGATCCCCCCGCTCCCACCCCACCACCTGAGTGTCCAGGTGACAGGTGGGCCCCCAGGTTCCTTCCCTCCCCTCCCTGGGCCTCGGGAGTCCCCCACTCCAGGTCCGTTCACGGGCTGTCTGCCGTTTTACGGAGCTGCCTCGGCCGGAACCTCTCGTTAGCACACTCGCCGTCGCAGGGCGTGAGCGGCTTCGCCTCTGCGCCCGGTCCCGCCAGAACGACACCGGACTCGGGCCTGGGTCGTCAGCGTCGGCAGTGGCAACAGTCCCGTCGGCCCCTCTCCGTGCGCCCACATGGAGCTCACGCCACACCGGGGAGGGCGTGTCAGGACAAGCCAGATGCAGGTGAGACTCGTGGTCTTTCTCTGTGCATCCAGACCTTCCCACGGGAGTGAGCTCCCCCGTCCCCGGCCCCCACGGTTTGCCCGATTTCCCGCTACGAGCCTCAAACGCCGTGCAGACGACGGAAGACAGAAATCCATTCTGCTGAGGGAAGACCAGCACCACGGACAGCCCACGGAGGACATGCCACGAAACACGTGTTCTTGTAGTTCAACCAACAAACTGACAGACACACATCACATCGCATACACACGTTTCTGAGCCACGGAGGTGAAACTATTGTCCCTTTACCTTTTCCCTGATCCTGGTTTTCCTTCCTCTCTCATCCCCCGGGAACGCCCTCACAGCAGCTCCCGCCCGAACGCACCACAGCCCCTCGGCCCGCAGCGGGGCGCTGAGCTCTCGGGTGGCCTGGCCGGAACCGCTCTCGGCGTCTCCTCCGCAAGGAGACGCCAGGCTCCCCGGGGGTCAGCTGGCCGCCGGCCGCGTCCCCGAGTGGGACTTTGTCGAAGGCCATCATTTGGAAGAGTGACTCCTGGGGTGTAATTACAGACCCGCGCTCTGTCACCCGGGGCAGCAGACACCCTCGGCCGGGGGGAGGGGAGGGGGGGCACGTCTCTGGCCATGAGGTGCACAGGGAGCCCTGGCCCTTGTCACCCGGGATGGAGGTGACAGCAAGAAAGGTGGGGAACCAGTGAGTCGTTTGTGGCCTCCTTCTGGACGTACACGTTTCCAGTCACTAAAAACTGCCCCGACACGCAGGCACATACATGCACACCCACCCACACACACACGCACACACCACGGATGAGGATCAGGAAAACCCTGCGTGGCCGGGATGTCCCCGCCGCTGGAGGCGTCCCCGTCCCAGGCACGACCAGCCACCCCCAGGGCTGATCGCAGGCTGGGTCCAGCTGAGCCTGCCCAGCCCGGACCCTCCTCGCTGTCCTGCCCAGGCCGCTGCCCCCCTCGTGCCGAGGGCGTCTCTGGGTCTGTCTGCCTCCGGGCTGCAGCGGTGCGCCCGCCGTGGCTCCCGCGGCCTCACCTGGGATCTCCCCAGAAGTGCAGTCCGGGCCCCGCCCCAGGGCCCTGCATCTGCATTCTCACAAGACCCAGAGGCCCAGGCCCCAGGGGTCAGAGTGGCGCCCACCAGGGGCTCCCCATGCCTCTCTCCTGCATTTGGGGTGTGGCCCACCCCTCTGTATCCACGGCGCCCCCCAAACCTGCATCTCCCACAGCAGAGCCTCCGTGACAGTGGGCCCCTGTGTGGCTTGTCACCGCCCCCTCCTCTGCTGTCCACCCACCCACCCACCTACCTTCCTACCCACCCACCCACCTACCTTCCTACCCACCCACCCACCTACCTTCCTACCCACCCACCCACCTACCTTCCTACCCACCTACCTACCTACCTTCCTACCCACCCACCCACCTACCTTCCTACCCACCCACCCACCTACCTTCCTACCCACCTACCTACCTACCTTCCTACCTACCTACCCACCTACCTTCCTACCTATGGACCTACGAACCTACCTACCTACTTACCTATGTACCTACTTTCCTACCTACCTACCTTCCCACCTACTTGCCTATCTTCCTACCTATGTACCTACCTACTTAACTATGTACCTACTTAGTTACCTAACTTTTTACCTTCCCACATACCCACCTACCTTCCTACCTTTCTACCTACATACCTACTTATGGACCTACGAACCTACTTATCTGCCTACCTACCTACCTACTTACCTATGTACCTACCTTCCTACCTTCCCACCTATCTTCCTACCTACTTACTCACCGACCTACCTATCTACCGACCTTCCTACCCACATACCTATGTACCTAAGTGACACGCTTACTCTAAGAATTGAGTGCTTTGGGAAAAAGACACCTCGCTGAAGCTCTAAAAATAAAACCCTCTTTGACAGTTCCCAGAATCGCACGACAGAGTGTGTGACATGGAGACTCTCAAAACTACGTTCGATGGGCAAACAGGTGTGCAAAGCACCCAAGCATCATGTCTCTGAACCACAGTTTGGGCTCCGAGTTCCTTCCCACGGTTTGGTTTCGATTCCCCGACACCTTTGAAGTCTGTTGCATAAGGAATCCCCCCACCCCAGTGGGAAAGGGCTTTGGGGGCCGAGGGCCCCCCTACTGTTCACGACGCCGGAGAAGAGGAGCAAGGAGTCCCGGGCAGAGGGCAGGCAGCTCCACGAGGCGCTGCCCCGGGGGGAAACAGACCCGCCCTGTCCCCAGTTCCCAGGAGACACTCAGCTGTAAAGACCAGCAGCCCTGCGCGCCGGAGCCGACTGTGGGCGGCAGGGGCTGCCCGAGGGAGGAGCCCGGCTCTGTGCAGGCCGGGGCGGCCAGGGGCTCCGCCGGGCTGCCGGCACCTGCTCTGACGACCTTCCGTCTCCCACTGACTTTGTGAGCTTGGGCATGAAGCACTTGAGGAAGGTCCAAGCTCCACTTTTAAAATGCCTCGTCAGTACTGATTTGTAATAAAAATCAGCTCTGCAGCACAAACATGCGGCTCGGCCCTCAGGACACTTTTCTGTTATTCACTGCGAGCACTTTAAGAACAACAACGAATTTTAGCAGGTTCTTCTCCAGGGCGGATGGTGGAGTGGCCCGACTCCCTGTGCCTGTGAAGATACTGCCCTCTGGTGGCCGAGCTGGCTCAACGCACTTTCCGGCTCCTCAGCGTCCGCTTGGGGCTGGGGCCGCTAAAATTACGGAATTCGCTTTATACGATCACACAAAATTAAAAATGTAATTGAGAGAGACATTTACATTTTCTATCCCATTTCATTTCAATTTTTTTTATCACTGCACGCGTTGATAAAAAAAGTTTCAGGCATGAAACCATCCTGAGCGGAGGAGGGGGTTACACGGCGGCTGGCGTGCAGATGGGAAGCCCAGAGAAAGAACAGTCGTGAAAACGCCTCACGTTCTAGACGAGCTGGTCTCTGCCACACGCAAAGAGCGATGGCGAGAACCAAACGTTCGTCAGATACACTGTAAAGGCCAGTATCTGTCAGAGGCTGTCAATTATGTCCTTCCAAGAATTTAAAACCAAGAAGGACCTTTCCGTAGGCCAGCGTGGAGGGGTGAGGGCCCAGGCGGGGTGATGACAGCACCGCGGAGGGGGGTGGCTGCGGAGCTTGGGGGCCGGCGGACCCGGGCCTGGCGCGGTGTGTCTGCAGAGCCGGCGGCCGGGCCGGGTCACGGACAGCGCTCGGCCGGGCGAGCGTAAGTGAGGTCGGTCAGGCTGCCGGGTGCTGGGGGGGGGGGGGGGCGGTAGAAACTAGGACACCCCCCCACGTCGGCCAAGGCGGCACCGGCCGCAGAACGTGAAGCCAGATGCAACGTGTGCTTCCCTGGGCTCAGAACAAAGCAGACACCCCCAACCCCCCCATACGACCAGAGGAACCCATGCCTCCACTCTGTGGGAGGCCATGCAAGCCATGGCACAGCCCTGCCCGCTCGCGAGGGGCGCCGCGGCGCGGTACTCACGTTCGAGCCCTGGCCGGGCGCCGGCCGCGAGGTGTCCTCGTCGCTGTCCGCTCCCGCCAGCCCGGGGGGCTCCGCCTGGAAGAGGGGCACAGCACACGTCACCTCCAGGGGAGAGCGGGCACGAACCACCGCCTCTCCCTCGGCAAACGCTCAGGCGCGCTGCCCACGTGGCCGCGTGGCCTACGTACTTTTAGTCCACGGCCACGTCCTTCGCTTGTGACCCTGGAAGCCGCCCTCAAAGGCTCGCTGGCTGGAGCCCAGAGCTCTGACCCCCCCAACTCAAGGTGCTGAGGCTCCTTTCCCTTGGCTCAGAAAACAGGTGACGCGGGGCGGCGGTGCACCCGAGTGACAGAGGGAGCTGGGGCGAACCCGCTGGTTGGCTGGGGCTGCAGCGTTGGTGAGTTTTACACTCAGTTCAGCATCTTGCTGAGCGTCGCGTGGGTGCACACAGGCATAACCGACCAGGTGTGTGCACCAGGAGCTCAGAGTTGCCTGGTTCGGTGGGAAAACCGGCTCCGGGGCCCCACCTGACCTCCCAGTAAGCATCTTTGGGGACGTGACCCGGGAAGGCACTGTCTTGAGGGGCTGAGGTGCTCTGGGAACCACTGGGCCGGCAGAACAAATGTCAAAGTGGCACCGACTTACCGTGTTTTAAAAACATCAAAGCACCAAAGTTTTAAAACAAGAAAGGGTATCTGCTCTCATCTACTCCAACCAAAGTGCAACCCCTCTCAGTATAGTCTCTGCTGAGACCTCACACACACACACACACAGACACACACAGACACACACACGCACACACACACTTATTTCCTTCCAGGAGAGACAGTGAAGGCTCCTTCAGCTTAGATGCCTGGATGCTCTCCGTGTTCTGTGCTCCGACACGTGTGCACGCTGTCAGGCATCACGGGATTTCAGAAATCATTACAATAACTGTTTACTGCAGACCCTCCCGAGGGGGAAGGGGCTTGTCCCGGAACCTGCAGCGTGGGGGAGGGGTAAGTGAGGGCCCTGACAGAGTGGGGGTTGGCTCAGGGCGTGGCGGGGACTCCGGGCTCCTCCCCCGTGACGGGGGGGGGGGCGACCGACCGCTCCCCCCAGGTGTCCGCAGAGGCGGACTGAGAGTGCACTGAGTGCGGCATCTCGAACGATGGAAATGGAGAGAGACGAGGAAGGAAGACCTGAATCCCCCAGCAGCAGCCACCAACAAGCCAATAAGGACATGAACGGACGGACGATGTCGGAGAGAACTGACACCACACTAACGTGAGGGAAAGGCCCAGATGAGGCGCCTGCGAAAGGAAGACTCTCCGAGCCAGTCCGAGACGGACCGAAGGAGAAGGGCAGTCCCCGTAACCACGGGCGGGCTCCGCCACCGCGGCGTCTCCCGGGGTCCCCCGGCCAGGAGCACAGGGAGTCCGGGGCCGGCCTCCAGCACGCAGTCTCACGAGGCGTGAGCACAAGCAGGCGGGCGTTGCGGGCTCCCTCTGACACTTGGGTTCGTCGGCGGCGGGGATCCGGGCTGTGACGCGCTACCCAGCCCCCACCCTCCGCCCACTCCCACTCCTGCGTGGGAGCAGCTTCCCTGAGCCCCAGCCCCGGGCACAAGGCGCAGGGGCCGCTGGTGAGCGACACCCCTTCGCCCCGAGAACGGCTTCGGGGTCCACACGCAGAAGGAGGCTCCGTCACCGCGGTGCACACTGACGAGCCCCCCTTTGCCCGAAGGCACCCCGACCGTCCAGGGGGGCTAGAGCCCGAACACCCCCAGAGAGCATGTTCACGCAGTGACCGCTACCTTGTTGCTGTGGTTTCTTTTACTGACTTTGAAGAATCCGAGGAACTTTTTCTTCTCCTTATCTGTCTCGTCGTTGCCAAGGGACGCTTTTCTGAAGGGCTCTGGGGGCAAAAAGCACCAAGTTATTTTTCAGCGTGAGAGATTAAGCCCTTCCGGTTAAAATCTCAAAAAATATGTTCTCTACTCTTACACTTTTAGTTCTTACTAGAGAGTAAAACCACCAACTGTTTCTTTGAAAGCATGTGGAGCCCCCCAAAGCCCCCAGTTCCCATTCATGAAATCGTTACAGGGTCTCACGCTCTCTAGTGGGCTCAGGGGCGGTATTTCTCAGGGTGCAGTCACACATCCAGATTTCCTCCGTCAGCCTGGCCAGCCTGTTTTCCTTCCTAACGACAGCCTCTAGGGGGCGCATTTCCTCTTCTGTTTTTTTTTTTTTTTTTTTTAATTCTTGAGCTCTAAATGCTCAACCTTCTTCTTCATCAGGATTCTATTTTTTTTTATCACAGTTTCACTATTACATTACTGGGGGTTGTTCACTATTAATTTTTCATTTTTCAAGTGCAGCTGGCATTCAGCACTGTTCTGCATTGGCTGCAGGGGCACAGCACAGGGGTTAGGCCGTCATGAGAGTTCCAGAGTCCGCGGCCCCCACCTGGCCCCACAGGCAGCTGTTGCAATGTCCCCGGTAGGTCCCCTGCGCTGGAGGCCAGCAGGACCTCGCACCAGGCACCCCTGTGCCGCCCACGGGGACGTGCAGCCCTGTCAGACAGGTGACCGCTCAGCTGAGGCCTGTGGTTCCCGGGACGGGAGGGGCCCGCAGTGTCCGCAGCCCAGGAACTGGGCCCGGGCCTGGTCCCGGAGTCAGAAACTTCGGGGCTGGGCCCAGCATTGGGCGTCCAACGAGCGCACCCCCAGGGATGCGTCAGGGGCACAGGCAGCGCTGAGGGCCGGGGGCGTGGAGGGGGTGGGCACCGCAGTGAGGGCCGCCCCGGCAGCCCGCCCCAGCGCCCTGGGCCTCGGCGTCCCCGCCTGCAGACGGGGGGTGGGGGGACGGACACCCAAACCTGCCGCACCCCAGGGCCACGCGCCGGCGGACCGGCATCACGCGCTGGTGCGGACACACCGGGGGCCAGCCCAGGCTTGTGCCACCAACTCGTCCCGTCTTCTCCCCTGAGCCACGAGGACATGGCGGGAGGAGGAAATGTGGGTGTCCCCGAGGGACCGACACAGGACACCCCCACACCGCTGCCCGCTGCGGGCCGCCGGGCCGCGGGGTGGGGAGGGGGCATCGGGGCGGGGAGGGGCAGAGTCTGCCACGGAGACGCCAGTCCCGTTCCTGGGCGCCGGCCAGCACTCGACGGTCCAGTCGGACACGGACCCGAGGTCGGCGTGTCGGTGACACAGCGGCGTGCGCACCAACGCCGCCGCCCCACGGCGCAGCCCGGGGCGCACCGGGTCACGCATGAGATCACTCCGCGGGCAGCAAAGGCTCGGGTTCAGTCTCGAGCGCTGGGGCGCTGGGCGGGGCCGAGCCGTCCGCAGCCTCACATCACAGACGTCCACACCGGCGGGCGGGCACCCGCGTGTGCCCACGTGTGCACGCACGTGTGCACGCAGATCTCACAGTGAATCACATCGAAGCCCCGAGGGCACACGGCTGGGAAGGTGAAAGGAGAGTGCGCTGCACCGCAGGGTACGGCTGGGCGTCAGCCACTGCGAGCGAGGGTGTGCGCGGGTGAGCCCGGCCTCTGTCCACACCGATTGGCCGTGTGGGACACGGGTGGGGCGGATGCGTGACCCTGCGGTGCCCCACAGGCGAGCACAGGGGAGCACGCTCCTGGCACTCGGGCTGGGACACCTCCCGAAAATGACACGGGGGTCAGACAACGGCCACCAGATCGAGCCCCTGGTGGCTCCCCTGGGACAGCGACAGCGGCCGGCCACCGCCCCCCCCCCCAGGAGGGCACCGCTGCCCGGCGCCATGCCCCACACTGGTGCCGGGCCAGCGCCGAGTGTCCTGCATTCGTCTCTTTTTCTAGAAACGAAACCTAGTGCTTGACACTTTCACGAGGACAGAAGGTTTTGTGCAATGTAAAACCTCACTGGGATTTTCACGACCTTCCTGTGTGTGTGCATGCACCAAACATTTCATTAAAATATGAATACATATGTGTGTGTGCCTGTGTGTGTGTGCAAATATCTATGTATCTAAGTACATATGCACAGTTTATAAGAAATAGGTATCATAATAAATGCAAAATCCAGACTCATCATTTGCATACTTATCTAGGACAGCAAAGGCTAAATGTCACAAACCACGCTGGCCTACATTCTGCAGCAGGCAGGATGAATCCCAAAGATAGGCAAGCACAGGCGAGTGCAAGTGAGTGCAAGTGAGTACAGGTAAGCACAGGTGAGTACAGGTGAGCACAGATAGGTACAGGTAAGCACAGGTGAGCACAGGTGAGTACAGGTAAGCACAAGTGAGTACAGGTGAGCACAGATAGGTACAGGTAAGCACAGGTGAGTACAGGTGAGCACGGATGAGTGCAGGTAAGCACAGATGAGTACAGATGAGTACAGGTGAGCCCAGGTAAGCCCAGGTAAGAAGAAATGCTGCCTCTCCCACACAGGTGGCCTGGGCTCTGCCCTGGGTCCTTCCCACGGGCCATTTTCCACACAGCAGCCTCCTGTGCCACCAGCCAGCACGACACAGCAAATCCTCCCTCAAAGGACGTTCTTTTCTCAGCCAACCAGAGTGCTGAGAACCCAAACCACAGCCTCAGGTGCACCAGCAAGCCTCCCCAGAGCTGCCACACAGGCACCCCCGAGGCCCACGGTCCCCGTGCATCTGTCGCCCCGGCCCCCAGCCATGCAGGCCGCAGCCCGGGGGGGGGGGGTGCAGCGCGGGCTCACCGTACCTCGGCAGCTCAGGGAAGGCTCCGACTGAGTCTTGCTCAGGAGAGCTGGAAAAGGCAGGCGGGGAGAGAGTGAGGGTGGGCAGGGAGGGACCTTCCGCCGCCCCTGGCCGGCCGCACCCTCCAGCAGTGGGGGCTGTCCCAGCGCTGGCAGCCGCTGGCTGCTGAGCGCCACTGCAGCAGCAGGGGGCAGCAGAGTCCTCTGCCTCTGCAGGCCGCTGGGGCCGGGGTTCCAGCAGAGGAAGCCACTACCCAACGACCCATCTCTCAGCTGCTGGCTGCGAGGGGGCAGACCCGGACGGACCACAGACCCAGGAGGGGGGCTCCTGGGGGACGGCCTGTGGAACATTCTCTTTTCTGCTCAGACACTGCACTGTCCTCTGGGCACGGGGAGGCCTTCGTCAGGGACGGTCATCAAACGTTTCACAGCCTGCATGCACAGGGCGTGGTCTGGCCCAGAGGAAAGGGGCGTGGGCCCCCTGGGCTGGAACCCCGCCCCCTCACCATGCCAGGTGTTCCCCTTACTCTCTGGGAGGCTGCTGGGACCCCAGGAGGGAGGTGCCCAAGGCAGCAGAGGGGGGACCCGGGGGCGTGGGCAGCGCCATTTCCCTGACTCGGAAGTGGTGGCAAATCTGAGCATCCAAGGTGTTTGCTCCAGGCGTCCTCCCCACGTGGGGGTCACCGCGGGGCCCCGGCTTGGGGGAGATTTCCCAGAGGGACGCTCAGCCCCCCAGCTCCGGGCACCAGGGGCTCGCTGGGCGGCGCCCCCCGAGTGGAGAGGCCGGTTTTCTATGACGGTTCCCCGGTAATAGGTTCTGCATCTACCCTTCAAGATAGATCTGTGACTGTCACACAGCCGAAATACGTGTTTGAGTAAGGCTTTCTCTTAAAAACCGCTCCAAGGTGGGACGGTGTTCCTTTCCTCCGTCTCGCCGAGTGAGCGCTGCTCCCAAAGTCTCCCAGAAACCCGATTTAAACCGGGCAGACGAAACCGGGCAGACGCGCCATTGCCAGGCCCGCGTGGCGGAGGCTGAGAACAGCCGTGTCAGCTGTGTCTGCGTGAGAAGATGCCGCGCTCTCCTGTGTCAGAACGCTCCTTACGAAGGAGCGAACAGCACAAGCATCTCGCACTCAACGGACCTGAGACCCTTTCTCGAATGTCAAATGCCCTCTGGGTTCCTGAACCTCCAGGGGCAGGTGTGGGGGCAGGTGTGGGGGCAGGTGTGGGGGCAGGGCGTGGTTCTGCTATGATTGTGGACTTCCCAATAAGTTTTATAATTAGCAAGCAATTATTCGATTACAAGAATCTTTTTAAAAAGCTGTAGGAAAACTCAAGAAACTTGAATATGTCTATATTTCTAAAGCCCAACCTGCCCCGTGTGTGTGGAACAAATACAAAGGTGACCGATAATGATGCCCAGGGCGGCTCATTACACTAGACGCTTCAGTGAGGCTCCCTTTAACAACCCCAAGGTCAAACAACAGTAAACTGTGTGTGTACGTGGCGGGGGCGGGCACGTTCTGACCGCTGTTCAGAGAGTTTGCCGTCTGACTCGGCCAGAGACACCTGCTCACACAGCGTATCCGTCTGTGTGCCAACCCTGGGCTGGCCGGCTGCTCCCCGTGGCTCTAGCTGTGACCTCCGGCCACGCGGCGTGTTCTCACGAGGACTAAGGTGTCTCCAGCCCCGATGGGGACCAGGCACCCTGAGTTGTCTCGAGGGACTGGGTGGTCGTTTGGGCAGTTCTAGGGATCGGCTGGACGTGTTTTCGCCACTGGCTGCGATTGGGGGTGACTGTCTGAGACGCAGGGGCAGCCAGAGGGCGCTGGAGGGGAAGCGCAGGAGGACGCGGTCCCCGGGCGGGTTCTGGGAGGCCCCCGCAGAGGGGAGGCTCCGGTGTGCCTCCCGTCCCTCCCCCGATCCCACAGAAGCTCCCAGGGGACGGGGGGCGGGGGGGTAGGGGCGTGCCCAGGACGGGGGCCCAGAGGCAGAATTGCAACCAGGGCATGACAGCGAGTTCGGCTAGTCTCCTGCCCACTTCAACCCGGTCTGGACAAAACCTGAGTCGCCCGAAAGTTCACGTTACCTGCCCACCTGGTGTGCAGGGCATCGTGCTGAGGGGCGGCGGACCTGGTGTGCTCCCTGTGTGTTCTCAGGGGCAGGGGCTCCCCTCTCTTTCTTTATGAAAAAAATTATTTATCGGTTTGGGAGAGAGAGAGAACCTTCGTTTTGCTGCTGCTGCACCTACTGATGCACTCACTGGTTGATTCCTGCATGTGCCCTGACCGGGGGTCGAACCCGCAACTCGGCGCACCGGGACGATGCTCCCACCAGCCCCCTGGCCCGGCCCCGGGCGGCACCCACCTCTCTTGTTGTCCCAGGCGTAGAGCTCCTTGATGCCCAGCTCGCTCAGGGACTTGGAGAGCTCCAGCTCCTCGCCGGCCACGTTGTCCCTGAGCAGCACCACGTGCTCCGGGCGCACGTCGCACTTGGCGCAGATGACCGGGAGGATGCTGAGCAGCGGCACCTCGGGGCTCACGCGCACCACGGCCTTCTGCGTCCGCAGGTAGTTCACCACCAGGCGCACGGACTTCTGCAGGAACACGGCGGGGTTGGATGGGGGAACGCTGTGGGCGTGTCCTCCCGACGGCCCCGCCCTCCGCCTCCCCCCCCCCCCCCGCCCCCGGACTGGGTCGGGCAAGGTTTCGTGTGGGCTGAACCTTCCCCCTCCGACTCAGCGGGTCGTGGGGAAACGGCAGACAGGGCAGCGGCCCAGACACGCCCGGAACAGGAAACTGACCTCAGAGTCTCTCTCACTGAGGGACAGACCCCTAAGGACACGAGGAAGTGGACATCGGAGAGGGGCCCCGTTTCAAGACCAACACACACGGGGCCTCCTAAGAATTCCGACTACACTCGAAGGCAAGGCACCTCTGTGCACTTTGTAAAGCAAACGTGCTTAGAAGTATTGCGAGTACAATTCAATGTAAAGAAAAACCCTCAGCAAACAAGACATCAGAGTCTTGTTTAAGAAATCAAAATATCGCCCTGCTTGGCGCAGCTCAGTGGATTAAGCGCGGGCTGCAAACCAAAGCATCGCAGGTTCGATTCCCAGTCAGGGCACGTGCCTGGGTTGCAGGCCATGACCCCCAGCAACCGCACATTGATGTTTCTCTCTCTTTCTCTTTCTCCCTCCCTTCCCTCTCTAAAAATAAATACAATCTTAAAAAAATACTTAAAAAAGAGAAACTAACAACAATCCTTCTCAAAAAAAAAGGAATCAAAATATCCACGTAAGTGTATAAATACCCATTACATACAGAGCCTGAGTCTGTACGCCTGGGCACACACCTGTTTATACACACAGACGTATTTGAAGCTAGCACAGCATGTTAGTGTTTCTGAACATGAGGTCTGTGATAATCAGAAGGGAAAACAGTCACTTTTCCGAGAGCTGATTCTAAGTGTGTGCAGCGTGGCCCATCGGAAACACTGAACCTGGCAAAGCTTCCGGCGGCTGCCTCTGCCAGCCTTTCCCGACCGCCCCCGGGCGCCAAGGGCCTGCAGGGCAGATGCGGAGCCGGGGGTTTACGGCGGCACTGAGGCCGACCTCAGACCCCGGACCAGCCTCAGTGCAGGGGGTCCACGGATGCGAGGCTGGGACACGGGGCACACGGTCTCGTCCGTGTTTCTGGAACGGGCATCAGGCACCGCCCTGGGCTCACCTGCCCGCAGAGTTTGTGCCTGGGGGGCGGGAAGGAAAGGGAAGCCACAGGGTGTAACCAAGGTATCTCTGCCCCAAACACAGGCTTTCCTGGAAGAATTCGGGGAAACTTCCACACTGAGGGCGGACGGCATCAGTTAGAATGTGTTAACTGCCCGGACCTAGAATTCCCAGGACATGGACTGTGGGCTAAACTGCCATTTTTAAAAGCAGGAAAACTTTGTATATATTCTAAGAATCTGAATGAATGAAATAGCATTACTCACAATTGGACCTAAAGAACCATAGCAAATGCTTACTAAAAAGCACAGTAAGCAGCTGGGATTAATGTGGATCGATGATTAAAAGCCTAAAATAAATCTATGTATATGATAAAATATTTTCCAATTGTAATGAGTATTTCTCACACCGATTTTTCAAAAGAAAATCTCTGCCCTCATCCCCAATCTCTAGGAAAATGTTCACATCCGCATCCGGCCTGCTCCCTGGGGCAGGAAGACCCCCAGACCCGAACTGGACCCTCTAGGCCTGGTCCAGTAGGGTGGCCACTGTGGTTACTGGCATGGAAATAAACTGCAAGTTCAGTTTTTCGGTCACACTAGCTGCACCGGCTCAGTAGCTGCCTGTGACACGTGGCTGTCACCTGGCAAGTGCGGAAGGGTAGACCGAGTCCACCTGTGCTGGGAGCCGGAATGGCTGCCTGCACTCTAGACCACGTCTTCTTCTGACGTGTCCGAAGGAACAACGTCACAGCAACGGACATTCTAAAATTCCAGAAACTTCCATCCTCTCAAATAAACCCAGTTCAGTGCCCGACCCTGCCTGGCACGGAGGAAGTCCCGCCTCCCCAGCCGTGTGCAGGTGTCGGGGAGGTAGCAGGGGCTCCCCCGTCGGCACCTGCGCCCACCGCAGGCGTCTGTGTGTCCCTGGGCTGCGGTGGGCCCCCGTCCTACTGACCTCGGGCATCTTGGGGGGGCTGGGCTTCGTCTTCTCTTCAGGCACCTTCTCCTTCAGAAACACGGTGTGCACGTTCAGGGTCCCCACCAGCGTGTTTGGCTTGAAACTCAAAGGCTGCTGGGAGTCCGGAGACCAGATCTCGAGGGCGTGGTGGGACGGGTTCAGGTGGTTCTGCAGGCACAGCTCCACCAGGAGGTCCATCATGGCGTGGCTGCAAGGGGAGGCGGGGCGTGGTCAGCGGGGTCTGCACCCTCCCCCCAGGCCGGGAGAGAATGGGCGGGCCAGCGGGTGGGTGGGCAAGCTTCCCAGGAAAGACAGCGGCCGCGCACAGAGTCCTTGGGCACGAGGGTGCCGCCACACCCTGGCATTCTCGGAGCTGGTGCCAGGCCCAAACCACCGAGCTGGGAAAGGAGTCAGCTTTCCAGCTACCTCCGTGGTGAGCTGGCTGGCATCTCGTCGGGGCAGTGACCACGGCGGCAGTGCATGGAGTCCTCCCACAGTCCCATCAGTGGGTTCCGCGAGACTTCTAGGGGACACCGCATACCACGAAACCCGTTTTGCCAAAGGCTAACTGATGTAAGCAAGAGTAAGTTCCGCCTACAGCATCTCATCAACGTTCTAACAAAACGACAGCTGAACAAGATGTAATGTGGGGACCTGCTGTACCCAGGGGGCACGAGATGTTAGATTTTCAGTTGTTTGTGTGCCTTAAAAACAGGAAATTTTTGCCCTGGCTGGTGTGGCTCAGTGGATTGAGTGCCGGCCTGAGAACCAAAGGGTCACTAGTTCAATTCCCAGTCAGGGCACATGCCTGGGTTGTGGGCCAGGTCCCCAGTAGGGGGCGTGCAAGAGGCAACCACACATTGATGTTTCTCTCCCTTTCTTCCTCCTTGCTCCCTCTCCAAAAATAAATAAATAAAATCTGAAAAAAAACCCCTGAAAGTTTTAACTTGAAGAAGATTACAGCTTTCTTTCTTTTCTTTTTCTTTATTTCCTAAAGAAAGTATGCCTTTCTTAGGACAGTGCCAGCCTATCAATTTGATGCCAGAGTTTGCTAAACAAATTTATTTATTTATTCCTATCTTTTCTTCTCCTACTTCTTTATCTCTGTTCCCCAAACATCTTCTAAGTGCCCAGAATGTAGACTTGAAATTATTTGTCATCATTTGTGTGGTCTCTATTTTTAAACTTAAAAAGTGAGTACAATTGTTCTGCTTCTTTCTTAAAAATAAGTATTACTTTCCAGATACAAAGAGACTTCAACATGTTTTCGCATGAGTTAGTGGTGTCAAAAAGAAGCAAACTGGTCTTTTTGTTTTTCTCACGGGGCTCTTCCTGAAACCCTGGGGGAGAGCTGGACAGAGCAGAGTGTGAGTACGCACCGCTCCCCAAATGTGGGGGCGCTCGGGACCAGGGGACGGTGAGCGGGCTGTCAGGGACCCCACGGAAGGGACAGGGATGCCGGAGAGGCCACGTCCGATTTCCACGCAGTGGGGGCGGCCGAGGGCCTCGTCCCTGTCCAGGGCACGGCACTTCTACCGAAGTCATAAAGTCTGCCGAATCTACGCCATCCCCGCCGCGGGGGCCTCTGGTGCCGCCCTGTGGGTCCCATGCAGCCCTCGCTTCGGCACCAGGGCCTCAGGGCATCAGGAGGTACCCAGAGGGGCAGCCTGTGGACTCCCCGGCAGGTGGGCAGGGCCTGTGTGGGAGGTGCTGGGGCCCCAACCTCGCAGCTCCAGCCCCGGCAGACGCCCCGGCCGGGGGGTGGGGCTGAGGGCTGCTTCTCCAGCATCTGTTCACAGGGCCCGTGGATAATTTAAAAAACGTATGGACCCCTTTACCCATTAAACGAGCACCTGGAATGTTCATTAGAAAGCTTAAGTTTAAATATAAATTTTCATTAATAAGGTTTAGGTAGACCCTGAAAACTGATACTTAAAAATAAAACTGGTGCCTCACCGAGTCCAGCGTATTCACGAGAATAAAATGCCCAGGTCCCGAATGGCCCCGCCCCCTCCCCACCTCTGCTCCTTAAAAGGGCTGCTCCTGGGGAGGTAGCGTGACCGAGTGGTCTAAGGCGCTGGATTTAGGCTCCAGTCATTTCAATGGCGTGGGTTCGAATCCTACCGCTGCCATACCGTTGTAGGTCTCTGTTTGACCTGGCTGGCGTAGCTCAGTGGATTGAGCGCGGGCTGCGAACCAAAGTGTCATAGGTTCGATTCCCAGTCAGGGCACATGCCTGGGTTGCAGGCCACGGCCCCCAGCAACCGCACATTGATGTTTCTCTCTCTCTCTCTCTGTCTCCCTCCCTTCCCTCTCTAGAAATAGATGGATGGGATCTTAAAAAAAAAAAAAAACAGAAGGGCTGCTCCGGCCTCAGCAGGCGGGAGCTGGCGGTCCTGCCGGGAAGTCTCCGTAGCTGACCGCTCCGTCGCGCCCACTGCAGTAAGCGCTGCGTCGACATTCACGTTTCCATTTCCCGTGACTTCGTGAAGGCTTTTTACAGCGAAGCCATCAGTAACGACCGTAGCAGCTGCACAAAATCGATCAGCAACACGACCACGGTAAAGCGTGGTGCGTGGCGAGCCCATGGACAGGAGCTCCTCTGGGGATGAAGCCCGCGGCGCGTGGACGGGGGGGGGGGGAGGCTGTGCCCCTGCGGGGAGAGGAGGAGCCCTCGACCCGGAGCCCTGGCTCCTGGCCCGAGCGGGCTGGGCCTAAGAATGGAAGTGGTCCCCATCCTCAGACCAGTGGAACCCACAAGTCTGGAGACCGATTCCCTTACGTTTAAAATCCGTGGGTCAGATTTTTTTAAATAGACTTTATTTTTTATAGGTATTTTAATTATTTATTTCTAGAGAGATGGTAAGGGAGGGAGAAAGACAGGGAGAGAAATATCAATGTGTGGTTTCCTCTCACACGCCCCCTACTGGAGACCTGGCCCACAACCCAGGCATGTGCCCTGACTGGGAATCGAACCGATGACCCTTTGGTTCACAGGCCAGCACTCAATCTACTGAGCCACACCGGCCAGGGCAAGATTTTATTTCCCAGCCTAAACTTGACTTCAGAGAGTGGGTTGCCAGTGTACGAACCCTCAGTGGGTCAGCCCGTGAGTGGACACTTGGGCGGTTCACTCAGGGGTGCCCCTGGCGGTGCAACTGCAGTGCCCGGGGTGCCAGCGCAGGCAGGTGGCTGGGCGCCCGCCTGGCATGGGACGTGACCCACGCGCCCTGCGTGAGCCCAGCGCGCCTCTTGGGGAGGTGTGCCGTGCTGCGCTCTGGGTCCTGGACTGAGGGGAGCTCGCGGGGCCGGCCAGGTGAGGCAGGTCGGGGGGGCCCCCAGGCCGACCCCGCGGCCAGGCCCTTACCTCCCGCTGACCACGCTCCTCTTCTCCAGCCCGCTGGGCAGCACCACGGTCAGGTCCAGCGCCCTGTCGCGCAGGTTCTCCTGCAGGTGCAGCAGGTTCTGGGGGCGGGCGGGGGACGCGCTGCGGTGGGGGCTCTGTCCCCTCTGCGCCGTCGGGGTGGGGGGCTTCCCGGGGGGCGGGGGCGCGCGCGCCTTCATCTTCCTCCTGGAACGAGGGCGGGGGGGGGGACGGAATGAAGCGACGTCTCCCACTCGGGAAGGAACGGCCCGCCGTGGGCAGCGCCCCGCGGTGGCCCTGAGTGGGAGCCCGAGTCCCACTCCTGGGTGGGCGCCGTCGCCCCACCCTGGGAGAGGCCTTTTAAAACCGGTCTGTGGTTAAAACCGGTCCGTGGGCACTTATTTTTTTTTTAATTATAAAGCTCTCAGTAGCAACAGCAGCAGCAGTACACACCTGAGCAAACAATATAATTACGATCCATTTGGACAAGCATCAAACACAAAACTAGACATTCTGTGGGTCGTAAAGCTCCCAGCACTGGGGCTGGCCTGGCCGGGCGGCCGGCCAGCTGGGCGGCGAGTGTGGCCAGGCCGTGAGTCTCAGGCCCCCTGGCAGGAGACCCCGGCCCCTGACCATGAGTCGCCCCCTGGTGGTCAGTTTGAGAACTTCCCGTCTCCTCCAGACGCTCAGGGAGGGCCCGCCCTTGCTTTGTGCAGGTGTTTCACTCTCTGTGAACTCTGCCTATGTACGTGCATGTGTTTGTATGCGTGTATGTTATCAGTGCACATACGCACACTTACTTATGTATAAGAACCTATTTCATACGGGCCATGGTGTTTTATGATAACAGCTCGCACTTCCTAGACATGGGGACCTACGGTGACAGTGACCCCGGCAAGCTGGCCTCACTGCGTCCTCAGCAGACCTGCCGCTGAGAAAACTGAGGGTCCGAGAGACCCGTCTTCCAGGGCAGGGGCTGCGGACGCCGGGATGTGAAGCGGGGTACACGCCCGGCTGCCCCGCCGCCGCCCCCTCCTGCCCGCTCTGCTTGGCCAGCCCGCGGCGGGCGAGCCCGGCCCCTGCGGCTTAACCCCTCCTGCAGCGCCCGCTGCTTGGCCGCACCCGGGCGGGCAGTGTCAGACACGGCGCCCCACTCCTGCGAGTGTGTCCTGCAGGAGTAACCAGCCCCGCAGGTGCGCACGGTGCCAGGTTCAAGGGTGCTCAGAGCATCCTCTGTGAGAGCAGACAGAGCGACCGCAAGTCCGTGCGAGACACTCCCCGGAGGTCGTGGCGCTGGGAAACAATGTCACACCGGTGCTGCTTACACAGCCTTTCGGAGGAAACGATTGGACCGGCCAGCACGCTCAATACGGGTTTGTTAGGAAACAAGCTTCAAAGTATCCTTTGTTGAGGGAAATCCTGTTTCGAAGCAAGGTACACATTGTAGCCATGCGCCACAACACCGTCTAGAGAGATACAGCAAAGAACGAACAACCACGATCCCTGGGTGGCGGGTAATAGGACGCTTGTTTCACTCTTCTCGCGTCTCGGCCTCTCCCGGTCTCTCTAGGACAGCACTGGTAGCACTGGCACCCGCATTACTCGTCAGACGAGCGAGACCATGTACAAACAAGGAAGCACAGCAAGCGGGGCTCAGAGGAGGCCACGGACTACCGTGGTTCGCGTCACGTGGTGGGCACCAGACTGAGGAGGGACTTCGGGGTCACAGCTTCCCCTATGACAAATGGGCAGCCATCCATTCTGTTTTCCTCCTGGTTAAAAGCCTTACATCTGCATCATCACTTGTACAATTAAAAAAAAATTTTTTTTAGGAAACTGGTGTATTTTATTTTTAAAGACTTTATTTATTTTTAGAGAGAGGGGAAAGGAGGGAGAAAGAGAGAGAGAAACATCAGTGTGTGGTTGCCTCTCACATGGCCCCCACTGGGGACCTGGCCCCCAACCCAGGCATGTGCCCCGACTGGGAATCGAACTGGCGACCCTTTGGTTCGCAGCCCGAGCTCAATCCACTGAGCCACACCAGCCAGGGCCCATTGGTATAATATTTATGCTTCGTTCTCACCCATCCCATTCTTTCTTTCTCTCCATCTGTAGGAGCAGAAACGGGGCGGCCAGCCTGTGTCGCCCTGGTCCGAGGGTGGAATGTGAATGACGCATCTGCCCCTCACAACCGCCCTGAGCAGGCTCTGGCCCCGTCCCTGTCTGAGGGGTAAAGGAGTCTGGGCGCCCCGCTCCGGGGTTTCGGGGCGCCGGGGCTACTGTCAAACCCAGATGGCTGTTCCTGAGCCAGAGCCGTTAGCCGCCCTGAGCTCCGGTGTCCGTGAGGAGGAGGAGGAGCTGTCCCCACACCCCACAACTGGGACATCCGCGCGGAGAGGAGGCGGCGGTGGAGGCCGGGTGAACCCGCCGAGGGTCTCGGCTGCAGGCCCATCCCGAGCGGCCCCCTTGCCGCCAGCACCCCCTCCCCGATGTGCGCCAGAGAAGACGGGCTTGCTGCCCGTGTCCAGGAAGAGAGGGTTTCCCGGCGGGGGCTGCGTGTACGGCCGGGGAGTCATGCGGCGGCTCGAACTCCCTCCACAGCAGAGTCAAGAAGGGAGACGCTACTGACGCCCTCTCTGGCTCAGCCAGCACAAGGGCAGGGGGTGTGTGGGGGGGGTGTGAGGGTTCCACTCCCAACGAGCCACGCCCCCAGCCCCCAGAGCCCCCCGAGAGACAGCCCCATCACGCTCCCCCACGCCCGTCATCAGCACCGAGGAGCCCTCAGCACCAATGTCTGCCCAAATGGGCCCCGTCCCACAGCCCCGTCTGCCCGTCCCAGGCCCACGGGGATCCCTTCACTCCACAGGCACCCTCGACCCCCACCCCCCTACTGAGGCCGTTTTCCAGCGCAGTGTGTGGTGTGGGCACACGTGTGTGCGCCTTGTGCAAACACCCTCAGACACTTCACACGAACGGAATGAGGTTCTGGCTCTCTTAGAAAAAACAAAACAAAGCGAAACATTAAGAGGTCTCCTGAGACCCCGAACACCTCCACAGGCTGCTCTCGGAAGGTCTGGCCGGCGCGGTGCGCGGGGCGCCCCTGCGACCTGGCTCGGAGGGCGCAGGGGCAGGTGCCCCGGCGGGCAGCAGGGGCCTGCGCTGGGGAGGCCCTCTCAGCCCCGCATGGAGAGGCCGTGGGTCCCCGCGCAGGGGGCTCGCCCTCCCTCGGCGCCCTCCAGCTTGAACGGCCGGCCGTGTCCTGCAGAAACTACTTACAAAACAAACACTGTCTGTGGAAACATCTCTGGCATCTCGAAGGTCACCCATTGGGGTTCCAAGTGGCTTGAGCTTAAACCACCCCGTGTCTGCTGTCCAGACCTCCGGGCCGAGCCGGCCGGGTCCCACGTCGGAGCCCAGGGCCGCCCGCTGGGTCTGGGAACTTGCCTGGGGACACAGGGCTGCGGGGGCCTGCTCCCGAGTCAGAGGCCCCCGACGGGCTGACTCCGTGCCTGCCCCCCCCCCGCCCCTGGGTGGCCACAGAGAACCCCGCTGCTGCACAGGGGAGCAGCCTGCCCGGCGCAGGAGCCCGGGGGGGGCAAGACCTGCAGACGGGACGGGAAGCCCACGCACCTTTCCTCTCCCGCGCAGCCCCACGGCCACCCTGAGGGTTCCTGCTGCCCCTCACACTGCTTCCCACGGCCCAGCTCCGTGGGCACTGGCGTCGGCGGCTGGGCTGCGGCAGCTCCCCCGAGCGACACGCCTATGCGACTTCCACCCATTTACTCGCTGGCTGCCTGGCAGGGAGCTGGCGCACAGCATGTGCTGTGGGCATGCAGGAAAACCGGGGCCCCCTGGCAGCCCCCTGATTTCCAACAGGCTCCTTCCCCGCCCTGCACCCCGTTTCTGCTGGCAGGTCCCACTGCACAGTGTCACTCAGAACGGACTCCACCGCAGGGCCATGTCGCTGCTTCAGCCCCGCAGCCGGTCCCTGTGCGCTGGCACTGGGACGGGACAGCACACGACGCTGTGTGGGGCCTGAGGTCCCGAGCTCAGCGACTCCCACCCCCTGGCCGTGTCCGCCCACCGGCCCCTCCGTGTGCACCTTGACTGGCAAGGTCCACCCCCCCCACCACCGGCAGCCTCCGCACAGGCCGCTCCCCCTGCTGGACACGCTCTTCCCTCCCCTCTGGACTGTCCCCGCCCCCCTTCTCCGCCCGCACGCACGCCCCAGGACCAGGGCCCCGCCTGGCGCAGTGGCCCCTCGTGCCCTTCCCAGGGCACCGCCCACTTCACATTCACGGGTCCTCCTCGATCAGGGGCGTTCTGACCGGCAGCTGGCTGGCCCCCACCCCAGAGCAGGGGCCCAGAGCGGCTCGCAGCCCTGCTGGAGCCAGCGCGGGGGGCACCCCCACTGGGATTCGGGGACCAGGCTGCCCCCGCCCGAGTGAGCACCTCGGAGAAGGGAGAGCCGTGCAGGCAGCCCGGCCCAGCCCCGAGGACGGCGGGCACAGCTGAGGGGACAGCACTGGCCCCGTCGGGTCCCCTGCTCCCTGTCCCGGGTCCCGCCACTGGGCTCGTGGCTCTTGGCTCGGGGACACTTCTGAGCCCGCGGCCCGGGCCTTCGTGCACGGTCAGTCCCCACGGGACGGCGGGGCCTCCCGTGCCGCGGGTGGGGCGACGGACGGAGGTTCGCACGGCTGGAGAGGCCAGAGCAGCGGCCGAGGCCTCTCCATGCAGCGGGCCAGCCCCGCCACGGGCACCCCTGCCCCTGGTGGGTTCGGTGGCCCCGAGTCTCCGACGCGAGCCCTCTGTGGTGACACGGTCTGGGTGAACCTGCCGTGTTTCTAAGTAGAGTCGGAGCCCCCTCCACCTCCAGCCCCTGCTGGAGCTTCCCCACAGCCCCCGGGGCTCCTCCGGGCGGGAGGCACCCAGGACCTCGGCAGGCTGGTGACTTCCGCACACGGCCGGGCGCTGTCAGGGGCCCTGGGGAGAGTCGCCGCCACACCCCCCCCCCCGCTCAGCATCTCCCTCCCAACACCAGGGCCAGGCTCCTGCCAGGACAGGAATTCCTTCCTTCTAACCGGGGAGAAGCAAGCCAAGGCCCCTGATGCTTCCCGTCACCTCTGCTCCGAGAAACAAAACTTAAACCGAGAGAAACCTCAACCCGAGGCCCACACACGCGGGGGCTAAAAAGGGGACCCAGGGAA